TGAACACATGCACACACAGCACACCGACTCGCACTCAGGCTCGATGCCGAGAGAAAAAAGAAAATTTTGAGGAAAGAAGGTGGCGCCGCCACTCGAAAGAAAAGAACAACGCGGAAGGCAAGGTGGGACAAGATGGGAAGCGGGGGAGGGAGGGGGGGGTCAGCGCACCATTGGCCTGTTTGGCGGTGATGGTCATCCGTGCAGACAGCTGGCGCAGCCGTCGACGCCACACATCTGAGCACGCTGTATGATACGAGTGGTGCTGCTCGCAGATGGGACAGCACGTCAGTGCCTTGTTGGGCAGGCGCTGCTGGTTGTCGGGACACTGCGGCAGTTCGTTCTGGTCTTCCGCGAGTGGGGTGGCGTTGGTACCCAAAAAGCACTTGTGGTAAAAGTTGGTCACCGTGCTTTCATAGTGGCATCTGTAACATTGGACTCGAGTCGTTTCACATAAGAGCTCCACGAGGCGAATGGGCGTCCGTGTATAGTATCGGAGAGTCGTGCGGCGACACGCTGCACACGCCGTGAGAGGTACTTTATCAGGATAGGTGCACACTTTAATGCTTGGCGTGATGGCCCCACATAAAGCACAGGTCAGGGCTGCCCGAACGTGTGGCTCCAATCGCAAGGCCTGCTCTGGCGAGAACTTGAACCGAAGCCCAGGCTTTGCCTGGCTCGATGCCGCCGCCATGGCGCCGCCACCACCACCACCACCGCGGCGAATTATGGCTGGCTCACCTATTGATCAAAAATTCCCCTCTACCCCACTTCCCTCACCAAATCACGAACCAAGCAGGCCAGCACAGCCACCCGGCCCCTCCACACACATACACACATACACACCCATGCACGACCCCTCGCCGTTTCCCTGAGCCTTTTCGGTCCTCCGCCCGCCCGCGAGGTATTGAGCAGCCGTACCGACCAGCGCGACTCGGGATCGCCGAACTGATGCGCCAGCGTCACAAGCAGATTTCAAAAAACGGTGACTCACTTCAACTCGACATTGGAGCTGCAACATCTCATCGACACATTAGTAAGAGTTTTACTTATGAATCCAGGATATCTGCATCAAGTCGATAATTTGATACATGAACTTTACCTTTCGACTGTCAGAAAAAACTGTCTTTGCCTCTTGTATCATTTTCTTCATCTTCTTCATCTTTTTCTTCATCTTCTTCATCTTCTACTTTGAGTTATACCCAATATTGTTATTCTTCTTCTTCTTCTTCTTCTTCATCATCTTCTTCTTCTTCTTCTTTGCAGCTCATCTCTCTCTCTCTCTCTCTCTCTCTCTCTCTCTCTCTCTCTCTCTCTCTCAAACTCTCTCAAACTCTCTCAAACTCTCTCTCTCTCTCTCTCTCTCTCTCTCTCTCTCTCTCTCTCTCTCTCTCGCTCGGCGCTCTCTCTCATCCTCGGATGGGCATGCACGAGGGCAGGCGTTGAGGCAGGCATGCCGTCGCACAAGGCCCCGGCGTGATGGCAAATGCAGCAGAGGCCCTCTCCACCTGTGCCGGGATCCTGGAACAGTAAGTGCCATATTGATGCTCCCATCGCCGTGCCTTTAGATCTGAATTCAATGTCTCTTCCCTTCCCCGCCTCCCTAATCATGTAGATTGATGTTGCTGTTTGAGCAACGGCTGCTGGTTGTTGAAACCCAAGTTGCGCGCTGCGATGCTGCCATCCACCTCTGCCTCACCCTTTTGCGCCAGCCGTTGTACGTCCACTTGGCTACCCACACTGCACGCCACTTGGCGACCCACACTGCACGCCATCTTTGCGTCGCTCAACGCTCCGCCCCTCGCAGCTCACCGCCGCCACGCTCTTGCTCTTGAGTGCACAGAGGAGAAGAGCGCATACTCGCTCTCACAGGCCGCCAGCCACCCCCTTCAGTCCCCGAGTGTGCTCCAACCGCCGACGCAGATGACGATGCTGCCTCTGCAGCTCTCTCCCACCTCGAACATAGTTTACACACTGCGCGCCGCTTACGCGCCAGCACCCACGCACACATCCATGGCTCGCAGGAACCAACGCCTTCTCTAGACCAAGCGCCCTCTGGCAGTACCGAGGAAGCTGTCGACGCTGGTGACTGGCACGTGGATGATGAAACGCTCACGCCAGCTGAACCCAGCCCCCTCGACCAAGCCCCTCCGCACATCTCCACCCGCGCGCGCGATCGCACGCGTCGCCAGCATGCCGCTTACGGCGCCCCCGCTGCCCCGCGGTCTTCGCGGAGTGTAGCCGCAACCCGGGCCTCAACTCGTGGCCGTGCTAGGGCCGGTTCCACGCGTGGGCGTGCCACGCCAACCGCGCCCACGCCCGCTATCCAGCCAAGCCGCTCCACTCGGCGTGGTGCTGCTGCCACATCGAGCAGAGGAAGCCGCACCAACCTCGCTCGAAAAAGCCAGCGAAGGCCTGGCGACCCTGCCATGGCATCCTCGAGCTCAACCGGCTCCACCGCAAACGAAAACTCGCGTGCCTCGCGCTCGGGTGTCTCTGCGACCAAACCATCAGTACAGGCCGGCACTCGTGCCCACGCTGGCGCTGCCGCCACCGCCAACAAATCAATATCCAAGCCTGGACCTACATCTGCGCCTGGACGCGCAAGTCCCCCAAATGATGACAGCTCTGCGCCAAAACATCTGGCAGACCTAACGATTCGCCTTCCTAGTGGCCTGCGCCATGAGCTCAAGCGATATGATGATTGCATGCGCAGCCTGGTGGCGACCTGTCAAGACGACTTGTTGGCGCAAGACGTGGATCGTGAGGGCCAGGCTTTTCTTGCGAGCTTTGACGAACCCTCCCCGACCCATCTCCTCGAGCAGTTGCTAGCTGAGAATGAGCAACGCCTGCCTTGTGAGCTGGTGGCTGCAACGCAGGAGGTCATCGCCAACGCCAAACTGACGCATACCACCCCCGATGCAACCGATGCCAGCGACACGACCGCCGAAGACTCGGCACTATGCACCTTGCCTCAACCTGCCGCTGCCTACTTTACCACTTCCCTTTCCGAGAGCGAGTGCGAAACATATGTGCACTCGATTCTGCACCAAGCACGCACTGAGGGCGACGCGCCCAACATGATCAGTCAAGGCAAGTCGCGGGACTTGGGCGCTGCACAAGTGGCACCAGGCCTCGCTCGCCACCGACTCGCGCCCGGCTTACGCCGCAGCGCCTGGCTACATCCCGTCTCCTCCTGGATGGCCTCTTCCGCTGCTGATGCAGGCAACATGAATGACACCACGGCACAGGTAAATGAATTTGCCTCTGACTCGCTCACACGCTCGGTCAACACTTGTGGGGCTCTGATCAAGGTGTTGTTTTTTACTTGGTCACACAGCTGGCCACCTTGCAGGAGGATTGTGCTGCTGATACAGATGCCCTCAGCACGGCAGCCTCCATGCTGGCAGAGGCCAATGATGCTGCTACGCTCCGGGTAAGACGCCCAAAATCCCACACGCCTTGATCTTTGCCTGGAGGTGTCTACGCTGACATGCCCCCGCCCTCCTCACACGTTGTCTCGGACGTTGCTCCTCTTTTTGCTTGTATGGCCATTTTCGTTTTTTTCCAAAGGCCTATGCTGGGATTCAGCGCTGTCTGTATGCGTTTGAGCACCCTGAAGCTCGTGATCGACCCATTTTTGTGGCCGACGCGGTTGAGTAGCCGCTGCAAGCAGTAAGCCCCAAAGCATTGTGGAGTCGGATCCCGGCCTGCTCATAAAAAAAAAAGTTTCAATTTAACCAATTTAACCAAGTCGCAACAGGTCAATTCTCTGGCTCACTTAACGCTCAATGATGCAAATTAAAGTTAAACAAGAAGGGCAAGGTGCACGCGAGCTCATGCCGCCGAGCAGGCTTTCACCAACCCAACCGAAACAGGGCGATCACACAGAAGCCAAATCAAGAGCAATTCACATTCTGGATTGTATGAGAAGAGCTAAACTCGTTCTTCACGGGGAGGCGGTTGTTGCCACGTGGCCGTGCCACCCAACGGAATAAAGTTGAGCTGTTGGCGTGTAGCGTCTGCAACGCGCTTGAGCACAATTGTGATGGCCTCCTTATCGTGAGCCGCTTGGCGGGAGCAACGTTTTAGGGTGGTGAGCACATCCTCATCTGATATGCCTTGCAGAGGCGTGTCATTGACCTGCAAGTCGGGTTCAGGAAACGCAAGCTCGTGAACGGCCAGAGCGGATAGCCGTAGCTGCGGATCGCGGGGGGGGGGAATAACGTACGGCGACAAACACGTCACCCAGACGAATTTCCACTGTCTCGTGGTTCCATGCGGGTTGGCCTGGCAAGACCTCCCTATAAACCATGTCGTAAGAAGAAGCAAGCACGCCAACCAGGAAGTAGGGTGCATGCGCGTGCCATATGGTGCGCAAGGCCCGAGCATCGCTTGTGCGGTGTGCGAGGTAGTCAGTTGCGGTTGGGCGATGGTGTCGCACACGGGTGGCTTCTGGCCGTACCGAACAATGGTGGCATCGACCGACTCGTAGCCGCTGATGCTCGGGCAAGGTGCGGTCAGGATCCCAATCCGGCCTGCGCGCACAAGGAATCACCATGCATTGCTTAAAGTGAGCCGGCGGTGCGAGCAGAGAGCGGCAAGAAAAACTGTTGATGGATGGTGCACGTGGTTTACCACTAGGGGTAGGCTGGAGTTCGCATTCGTAGCAACTACCGTCCGCCACTTGAAGCTTCTCTGATTGGAGGCGCTTGAGCGGACCTGACACGACGCAGCAGAACCAAGGTGAGTTGCGTTTGTTACCCGTAACAGCCGTTGACTCTGACGGCTTGGCTCTTGCGCGGCCAAAGCCACCTGCGACCATTCTTGGGGTGGTATCGCACGAGGGGCTCGAGTGTGAACTACGTACGGGGCGGTGAGCGTGGCTGCTGGCGTTGCGCCGCGTTGTGGTTCAGATTGGGTGATTTGTGCATTGTGAAAAACCGGGTTGCAGTCAAGAGGCTCTCGCGGCGACGAGAGCGCCCTCTTGAATCGGTCGTGAGGACGAGGCGGGTGGTTGAGGGAGATTCAGGCAGCAAGGACAGGGGTGGCTGGTCCGGATCGAGCGTGGGCATGGGTAGACCTTTGCTCTCAAGCTCGGGTGGGGCTTCGACGGGCGTGCTCAGTAGGTTGTTTGAGCTTTTAAGCTGGCGCAATTGCCGGGGCAACGGCCGCGCCGTGTCCCGTAGAACGTGGGGCGAGGCAGGCGTGGGAGAGGCTTGCCGTGGAGATTGAGCGCCCTGAGGCGTTGGACTCGGCCCTGCTGGCTCCTTAACCAAAGGTTCCGCGCTCGGTGCGGGGTTGGGAGTCGGGGGCTGGCGTCGAGGCTTGTCCGTGCTCTGTCGCGGCTCTACCGGGGCAGCGATGGGCTCAGATACGTTTCGATGCCGGTGAAGTCGATGTAGAAAACCATGACCCGAGTGCGGATGAGCCTGCTTGGCCCCAGCCACCTCTGCACCATGACTCGCGGATGAGTCTTGTGTCCGCTCGCCCTTGGACTGTCCCTTGGTCATGGTGTGTGTTGGATGCAAAACCTGACACACACACTCTCTCTCTCTCGATCTCTCTCTTGATCTCTTGATATCTTGATCTCTCTCTTTGATCTCTCTCTCTCTTCTCTCTCTCCTCTCTATCTCTCTCTTGATCTCTCTTGATCTCTTAGTCTCTCTCTTTCTTGATTACTCATCTCTCTTTCTCAACTCTATCTCTCTCTCAATCTCTTAATCTCTCTCTGTCTCTTACAATTCCGAGAGAAATTGAGCCTAAATTGAGCATAAATTATGGAGGAATTCAGTAAAATTCGGCAGTATGCTTCCCTGGCCCTGTTTGGGCTCTACAGCCGAGCTGGTGGCCCACAAGGCGTCGGATAAATTGATCTTGGGATGTGGGTGGGCCAAAGTGCACGCCAGGGAAATGAATTATATGAACCAATTATCGACTATCCTCGCTCATTTCGAGCTGATACAGCCAAAACAAACTGGGGTCATTTAGGAGAATGCACCATGCCACGTTTATATAAAAAGTCAGCTGTAAATGCCAGCGTGTAAACTCGTGGCGCTGCGGGCTGCAGTAATGCTGTTCAAGTCCAAGTGTCTATTGGACAAGTCGGGCCATTACGACCCTTGCCAGTTCCACTTTTAGAAACAAAACAATATGGCAGCTGATAGAAAATAAATAGGGAAGCCCGGAAGCTTGGATCAAAAAAAAAAGATCCCAACGCGAAGATTGGAAAGGGTTTTGTCCTTGTTACGCGACAGCGGCAGACGACGGATTTTGAAACGGGTAAGGGCGCCGCGCCACCGTGCGACCAGCATACACGAGGGAGGCGCTGGCTTGAAGTGATTGCAATGCCGTGCGCACGTGTAGGGTGGAGGTCGAAGCCGTATCTGCATCCTGTGAGGGCACGGGCACCGCCTTGGCTGGCGCTCCGGCACTGCGTGGATTGGCCTGGCGAACTTGCATATCCTCCATAAGGGATGCCAGGTCTTGACGTAAAGAGCGCAAGAGCGCCGTCGAATCGCATCCATTGTTCGTGTTCATGTGTGGCACAGAGGAAGTCGGACCCGTGGACGGAGCTGACACCGGCGGGGATACTGGTGGTGCTGAACCCTGGTTCTGAGAACTGGCACGTGGTGGGTTGGACTGACCAGGCTGCGTGGACGCCATGCCGCTGGGAGCCACAAGCAAGTCAAACCATGCGTTATCCAGAGCCTCACTGCTGACCACGCTTGCTCGGTCATCCACCTCGGCCTCCATGCCTGCGCGGGGCTGCTGTGGTCCCGTTGCCGTCGCCGCCGCCTCATGTCCGCTTGTACTTGCCTCCATCGGCAGTCGCTCCATCAAATCCGAGAGGCGTAACTCGCCGGCAGAGAGAGCCCGGCTCGAGGCAGCAGCAGCGCTCTGCACATCCCAATTTGTCTCAGTGGCTGCTGGTCTGGCCGCCATGGGTTGCTGTTGCAAAGCGGCCTCGGGCTGAGGGCTCGCTGGCGTATTGTCAACCGCAGCCTCAGGATTTCCGCCTTGGTGGGCTGGAGCCTGAGTGTCAGCGTTTGCGTTTGACGCGCCATCAGACGAGTCATCTCCGTCGACTGCTGCCAACGGCGTAAACCATGTCCTCACTGCATGTTTCGGCACAAGGCAATCGTTTGTGAGTTGAGAGCAGGCAGCCCATATATGCGTGCTCAAAAACCACTGGGCAAGAACACACGCACCTTGTGCACGTCGCGGTTGGCTGCCCCCGGGGGTCAACGCTGTGTCGATGACGTCCCACGCAGAGGTACCGTCCCCGAGATGAATACGGCGGCTCGTATGGCCCTGCGGAGAGGCAAAAGTCACGCGTGCTACAAGACATAATCCAAAGTGAGCGTGAAGCCAGAGGGTTGCGACAATAGGCGGACAATCTCTCAGCCCTCACCTCGACTTCCACTGGCATCGGATTGCTGATGCATCGACACATCGGTGGGTTGAAGACGAGGCGCAGGATCACTCTGTGCCGGTGGGGAAGCTTCGTTGCTTGCCAGATTGTCGGCGGCAACAGCTGCGTTGTCCGGCTGCTTTGGTGGCATTGACTGCGTAGGGACGTCCGTGTCCTCTGGTTCAGCCCCACTCAGATCAAGAAGGTCTCTGGAGGCGCCTTTGTCAGCGCCTTGGGCTTGTTTGACTGAAGGGCTCCTGGCTCGGGCAAAAGTCGGTCCTACTGCGCTGGAGTCGGCCGGGCTGCTCTCGACCACCGGCTGTAAGGGGGCAGCTCGCATGGGGACGTTCAAATCTAACATGGCAGCAAAGCGACCTTCAGTTTGCACATGCTTGACTGCTGTGCAGCTCATTCCACTACCAAACTTAAAAAGGACATCAGGCATCATTGGGCGAGCAGCTCTCACCGTGGACCAAAGCTTGCGCCACAATCCGGCGCATAGGCTGCGGTCCTGCCGCGCTTGGGGCTTTTGTGCGCGGGGCTGCAGATCTCAATGGCTGGCGGGGCTGCGACTCATCCACAAAATCCTCGGGCTTGACGGTGCTAGTCTCTTGGGTAGGGCCACTGGCGATGGGAAACCAGGGCTCACGCTCAGGGTGATCAAAGGGCTCCACATCGCGCCCGTAAACCGTGTCGTCCCCTTTCGGCAGCGACGTTGCAGCGTGAGAAGCCATTCGTCGCGGCGGCCGATGGTTGATGCGTGTTGAGCAGGTAAAATGGAGACAAGTTGGGCATACCTCGACGCTCATCAAACAAAGCTTCCGTGGCTTGGGCCAACGTGGCTTGTCGGACTGCTCGGCGCTGTGGAATCTCGCGGGGCTGACAAGTATGGGGGCGCGGGCGCATTGAGTCGTTTTTCTGGACAGGTCTGGCCGAACATGCCCAACGTGAGTGCTTACCTCAACCAACATGGTTGCGCGGTCACTGAGCTCCAGCCGGCGCCGCTGACGCAAGTGCCGGTCAGCCTGATGCAGCTGCTCTTGTAGCTGTTCCTGTGCCTAACGGACTCAAAGCCGGCAAATCCAATTAGGCAGCGCAAGTCCTTCAAGGGGGCGGTGTTGGCTGTGGACGCGCATTACGAATTGCGGTCAACCAACCTTCTCTAGGCGCAGGCGTGTGAGGGCGGCCTTGCCTCGCTCAGTCCGCTTTTGATCGCGATCATGTCGCTGAGAGGCACTTAGCTGCAGCCATGCATGCCGTCATATGAGGATCGCACAGTACAACAGCCAAATACATTCGGCCCCGTTGCTAAGATTGGGCAAGTGGTTTACCATGGTCATTTCATGTTCTTGAGCTTGCATTTGATCAGCAAGCTCGGTGGCAGCTAGGGAAGCATCACCGTCCGCTCGCTGCACCCAGGCGGTCACTGGTTTTGGCTACGTGGTAATTAGCGGGTGGTCATGTGCATGAGGGCTGGGAATGACGAAGCTTGGCGCGAGCGCCTTCAGCTTTTGACGCTGGCGCTGAAGAGGCGGTGCTGGCAGATAACAAAACGATGACACTGACTGGCTTTGCATGCATAAAGGTATGGGCATAGGCTTCGGCATCCCTTCGCTGGGGCAGGATGAGGTCACCAAGCTTGGCCACGTCGTCATCTTCACTTCTACTTAGAAAGGGCAGGTGAGTTCCGGGCCATGCAAAGACGCAGGCATTAGGCATCAAAAGGGGCTCGTACCGCTCGGCGGCTCGGCGTCGCTGCTCTGCAGCGATGGCCTGGGCCCGCTCACGTTCCTGGATGCGAACCGTCTCCCAGCGTGCCTTGGCAGCTGCAGAACGACCATGGATCCGTTTCTGTTCGTCTTGCAGCCAGGATTTAGCTTCTCGAGACCGCACTGCAGCACGGCGCTGTGCGAGCTATTACATGAGCGTCGAAGCACATGAATGTTTATATTCATACATTTGGGAAAAGCACATATATTTGGTCGGGTGTCGGATGAGCGAAGGCGGCCGGATCGATCTTCAGTCGAGCACGCGACGGGGCTAAAGGTCGTGCGGCGAGGCGAGGCAAACCTCCAAATGACGTTTTTTCTGCGCAGCTACGCGTGAGCTTTGGTCATGTTCAAGGGCACTGACATGTCCTCGGCCCATCTGTGTCAGGCAGAGCTGGTAGTCCTCAGCTAGGAGCTGTCGCTCGCGCGCGAGCTCGTCCCGCCACTCATTCTACTCCCGCGGAGACAAGAAGCGCGTCAGACCACAGGACAACGGCGTGTGCCGCGGCTATGCGCGGAAAAAGCCAGCACGGCCGACCGACCTCAAGTTGGTGTAGAACACGAGTCTCCAAACGCTGTCGTTCCTGATTAAAGCCATCGCGCACCCGGCGTGCAAATTCGCGCTCCTGCTCCCGCACCTGGTCATGTCGTTGTGAAGTGATGAAAATGACAAGTGAGTGGGAAATTAGAAACGGTCTGTTGCTTGGCGTGCGTTTCCCATGACCATAAACTATTTCCTTCAGCGCAGCGCAGGCACCACCACAGCACGGGGCCAGGGCTCAATCCCCACCTCTTGCAATCGTCGCGCCGAATCCGTCGTTGCCGCGGTCATCTTCTTGGGAGTTGTGATTTCAAATTTACCCGCAAAGAAAACTAAAACGCGTCGTGGTGTCGTGTTGCAAATACACCAACCGGTATTGTCAGATAAAATACACAGGGTTTGTCAACAAAACTGAGAAAAGCGCGGGAAATACATCTCTGGCCAGACGACACAACGTCAAAGCCTCTCTCGATTTGTCTTCACTTTTTATTCTTTTCTCTGGTAATAGCTTGTATTTTGAACAGGCTGCGCTTTCAATCTGTGCTTCCTCTCTGAAAACTTTAAAGCGCCTGCCCACATTCTCTTAATAATACAACTTCACGCTCTCACTCTCTTCTCTTGGCTTTTGTTGCTTACCATCGTGCTCTTGAGTATTTTTTTTTTTCCTCTCCTCATTTGCTTGTGAAACGGTCCCAAAAGGCCATCAGTCCGAGCGTTGGGGTCGCTGGCTGCTGTCCCGATGCGCCACTGCAGGACACCTTTGGCGTCCGTGTGAGCAGTGCAGTCGACGGGGCGACAGCACTTCCTTTCTTGTCTGTTCTCTGCTAAGAGAAAGCATTTCATAAATTCTTGAAGATCCCAGGGTCGGACTGGCACCACTGAAGGGGCGCAGGCACGCAAAACGACCACCATCATGCCGGAGGACACCGCCTCCCTTGAGGGTGTGTTGAGGCTTGGCCTGCGTTTGTGCTGCCTTCAAGCCTCTGCTTGATCTCTCCTAACCTCCGTCTCTTGTGCCATCGTAGACTGCGCCGCCTGTGGCATGGCCTCAGCTCTCCCCTGCGACGCCCGCCGCACCATCACCTGCGACTCGTGCATGCTTGAATTATGTTTGAATTGTGCTGCTGCAGGGGCAGATCTGCCCACCATTATTCGAAACGAGGACGAAGAGGTGCGCGAGCAGACCAACTTTATGTTTGAATGTGAAAACTGTGCACGCGTGTCCTGCGGCTCTTGCGTCTACGAGAATCGCCTTCGACAAGACCTTTCTATTGATGCCTGTAGCAAGTGCGGGCGATTCATTTGCAGCGACTGTGCTCAGTTTGACCCCGTGATGCACAGCGATGTTCTACCACGCTGCTTGTCGTGCGCAGAATCTTTCTGCCACGAGTGCCTGCGTGAGTGTGCGATTGTGTGCAAGCGCCCTGGAACGGCGCAAGACCCCGATGTGTTATGCAGCATTGCCTGTGTCTGGTGTCGCACCGACGAGTGCCCCTGCTGCATGCAACGGCTGTCACGCAAAGAACAACAACGCCTGCGTCTCATTCGCAAACGTCAGCCAGAGCTGGTGCTGTCCGCCCCTGACACTTTTGTCTTCACTCATCGGAGCGACCATCGCAATGGCGGCCGTTGGGGAGCCAAGAATGTGCGGGTGACCTGGTCCAGCACTGAGCAAGCTGATGCATACGAACGACTTATCGATGATCAGGCAGCAGCAGCAGCTGAAATTGTTGCGTCCCTTCTGCTCAAGGAGGCGGAGGCGGCGAAAGAGGGGACCACCACTTCCAAGAAAAAGAAAAAGTCCAAGAAACAAGCCAACAAGTCAAAGGCCGTGCCCGAGGCTACATCCGCCACCGCCGCCGCTGATTCCACCAACAATGCCGACAATCTCGGTACTTCTGCTGCTCCTGCGAATGAAGACAGTCCGCCAAGCCCGTCAGTCATGGATGTGCCAGCTGCGCCGGAGAGCACGTCGGTCAAGGATGTGCCAATTGCGTCGGCAACCGACGTCGCCGACTCAGCCGACGTCAGTCATGCAGTGCAAGCCACAGAGGCGCCGGTTTCAAAAGTGTCAAAGATTTTGAACCCCGCGCGCACCGCTTTTACTGCCCTTGAGATGCCGCGTGCTGCCAAAAAGGTAAAGAACACAAACAGCTTTGCAGCTTTGTTGGGTGACTCGGACAGCGAGAACGAGGAGGACGCGGCAAATCAGGTGGACGACTTGGCGGCATCCAGTGAAGCTGTACATGCAGAGGCACCTGGGGACAAAGCGCCAAACACACAACCAGGCAACTCAGAGACGCCAGCCGATGATAGTGTCGCTCCTGTGGCCGGTGCCAACACAGACACCCAAGTCAAACCCAAGAATAAGGTGAAGAACAAAACCAAAAATAAAAACAAGGCCAAAGCCAAAGCCGAGGCCTTAGTTGAATCGCCAGCAGGTGAGCGCAGCCCATCCCCAAGCCCAATTTCAGACAAGAAATTGAGCCAACCGCAGGACCAAGCCTCCCCCGCGTCCCCACCAGCGACTGCAACTTCAGCCTCGGCCCCCGGCCCCGCGTCAGCCTCCGCCATCCGTCACGCCATGGATCCCGAAAGTACAAATGCCACGCAAGTCCTGGAAGCGGCCATGGAGGACAAAGATCTGGAGGCACTGACCCAGGCCATTAATGTGGCCGAGGCACAGGGATTGGATACTAAGAGTGCCAGAAAGGTTCGGCCTGTGTTGTGTCATTATGACTCGACCTCCAGCTTTATGGGCAATGCCGGAAGGTTTGACACTCACCGCCTCGCTGCCAACACTCCTGTAGCTTGCCAAGCGTCTTTCAAAGGCCGCCGAATTAGACATACTGCTTTTCGACTTGGCTGCGGAAGCCATGGAGGCCGATCCTCGTGACGGACCACTTAACGTACGTCTGGATACCTCGCGGTTGGGGGCGACGTGGTCGAGCATTGCTGTTGGTTGTGCAAGTCTGCGCGAAGGGTTGAACTCGGTGACTGATGCACCTCTTGTCATGCGTTCCCACAGTTTTCCCTGCTGTCTCAGATTAAGCAGGCCATCAAGCGCCTGAGCGACACTTCGCGGAAGTACGATGGTCTCGTTGACTTGAATTCGTGCTGGGCTGACGTATCCGCTTGTCCATCGTGCTCATATTCGGTCCATTCCCTGTCCTTGAACATGCATGTAGGACAGTATACTGCTTGAATGACGACGCTTTGTCAGATTTCCGGGATTCGCTGGAGCACTTGGCGCCAGAGCTGGTGGACGACTTGGATGATGCACTCCTTGAACAGATGGAGGGTGCCGAAACTGAGGCGACACCGCCAAAGACGCGCACCCCACACGTCGAAGCTAGCTCACCTGTGCAGACCTCCGATTCACCTGCAGCGGTTGCCTCAGCACCCACGCCGCACCAGCTGGCCTCGGAAACCCCAGCAGCCCATGCAATGCCCAAGGCCGCAGCAGCGCCTGGGGCCAGTCTGGGATCAAACGGCCAGCTCGAGGCCAAGCCGCAAAGCGTCAACTCCAGCTCTGCGGCCAACAGTGCACAGGAACGGCTTTACCTGAGCTGGTCCAACGTATCGTCGACAAAGGGAAAGAAGAAGCTCATTGCGTTTCTTCGTGAGCATAACCTGCTACACTTCAAGACCGCTCTGCTCAAAGCAGGGATTGATCTGCAGACCTTATTAAACCTTCCGGAGGATAAGTGGCATGCTCAAGGCATTCTCTCCTTTGCTGCCCTTTCGCGCCTAAGGACCGCTGCTGGGCGGTCAGACGTGGTATGTCAAGCGATGTTCAGGGAAGCGCCGTTTGTTGCTCTCCGCAGGTCTTGCTGCCCGTGCTGCACAGCTCACGTTCCGATTACTCAGGCACCAAACTCGCTGTCAGAAGCCCTTTGTCGTTTCTGTGGCGAGAACCCCGTGGGCGTATCGGCCCAGCCCTGCAACTGCCTCTGTGCCTGTCGGTCTTGCGTGCTTGAATATAGCGCCCACACTTGCCCACATTGTCGAGCGCCCGTTGAGGTATGTGTCTCGTTCCACCTGGTAGAGAAGAGCAAACTTGTATGATACAGTCCTTGGGCGTAATTTTTGTGTCTTACATCTGCGTCATTATGGTCGCAGACGTGGTTGGATTTGGATAGCGAGACGCGGCCCATCATCGAACTGCGCAAGGAAGTGCGCGGTCTCCCCTCACCCGGATTGAGGCTACCTAACTAGCGAGCGATCTGACTCTTTGAGATTCAATGGTGTTTGATTAATGTTTTGGTTTTGATCAAATGAGTGAATTGACGTGGAAGGCTTTCGGGGCTACACCATCCTTGCTGAATTCCACGGGAAAAGGGCAGCATGTCCCGCGGATCGTTGAAAAAAGAGCACTGCATTAGAAAATCTACGGCCAGCAGTGGGAGGGTTATTTTTTTTAACTGCATCGCATCTCAATGACGTCCTTATCGTCGCGCCACGCCTCGCGCGTGACCCAAAGTTGTTGAAATGTGCCCTGTCATCAAGTGAGCCGCGTGAGAAGGCGCGAGACAAAAGCGTTTATGAGCCAGCGAGAATGCACTGGCTTTGGGATATCAGAAGACCCATCTATAAAGTGCGTACCAGAGAAGCATAAATGGAGCCGCCGATCCATGCCGAATACATGCGCTCCTGTGATGACTGCGAGGCCACGATTTTGAACTTGAAAGCCTAAGCAACGAAAAAGAAAGGGCCAACGCAGAGCCAGATGAGCTCGTTTTGGTCGAGGTTGCGGTCAGACGGGGCAGTGGTGTAAGTTTTGGTTCCAAAGTGCTTACGCGTGGCGTGATCTTTCCAATCTCGGTGTGTACACGCTCTTCAAAGCCTTGGTACAGGGAGTTGCTGCCGCAAACAACGACCGTGCTCAGCAAGCTCTGCTCAAATGATATGCACATTCACGTTTGAATGTGGATGAGTCCAAGGCGCAAGGGGCCGAGTGCGGTAAATTGGCGAAGGTGGTCATAGTCCTGTAGAGCCCAAGACGGCAATTGTGTTGAGATGCATGAGCCAATACTGACCTGGTGAGTCTCTACGTCGCAGGCGCGGAGCACCTGATCAATGATCTGAGCAATGCCCACTTCGCGAACCACCCTGGGTTGGAGTGATGATGAGCACTTGATGCTGGAAAGCAATACAGCCACGAGCTGCGGATTGACCGAGATGCATGACACGTACATGGGGGCGCTGTTTGGATCGGTGATCGAGCGGGGATCCAAGGGATCGATCGTGGGGCCGGAGCCTTCAAAAGGGGCGGTGTAGCGGAATTTGTCTGGGTTGAAAAAGCCCTCGACAATTTTGTAGCTAGTCAAAATGAATGCAGATAACAGGTTGAGCAGGCACCAACACGGATGTGAGTGTGCTTGAGTGTGTGATACAGTCACCTCGCCAGGAGGGCTCGAAATCAGGGAAGGGGATGTTGAGCTGGGGAACCAAGAGGTGACGAACCGCTCAATGCCCCAATTGTTGTTGTAGCCGTTTGGAAACTCATAAGGGGTGGTGGGGATGTTGTTCAGTTGCCTGGTGGCATTCCACAAGAAGTGGCCATCAGCCAGTCAAAAAAAGAAAAGAAAAAACAAAACACACGATGAGTGCCTGCTTCAGATGCTGTAGGCGGTGGCAGAGGGCGGCAAAGGGGGACAGCAACTCAGGATCAGCTCGGAATGCTTTAGCGGTACAACGTACGACTCAACAAAGGGCTTGTCGCTGACGCGACACACGCTGGCTTGCAGATCACGGATAATTTCCTGCGAGCAGCAGAAGGAGCTGTGAGAAAAAGCGATGATTCAAGCAATTGCCATGCAAAGCGCGCCAAACCGGCGCGATGAAAGGAGAGCAAGTAAGAAACGGACGTTCTTGTAGTATTCCTCAGCCGACGCAGTAAGCGTGGGAAAGTTGGCTTTGGGCTTCCAGATGGGCAGAACATCTTCAGCCACGGGTGTCTGCATGGTGATTGGGTGAGACCAAGGAGTGAAGTATTACATCACATCACATCACATCACATCGCAACACAACACAGCATGACGGGGCTTGTGGAACTGAATCATGTCAGATGCATTGGTCTAAGAATGTGAGCTGACCTTGGAGGCGATTTTGCAGCTGGGAACGAGATCGAGGTTGAGATCCTCTTCGAGAACGTGTTTAAGTTGGCGAGTGACAAAGTTACCGGCACAACGCGTACGGCGGGCAGCCTCGAGCAGGGCCACGCCGTCATACACTGGGGTAACACTGGTGAATTGGGCACCGGAGTCAACCACAAGCGCAGTACCACGGCCGTTGGCAAAACTAAGCATCGGCAAATGGGGTGCAAGGCAAGGAGCGGGCGCAAGAATATGGTCAAGGCAGGAAAAAACCACGGGGAAATCAAGAAAGGTGAGGCGGGGTGAGGCAAGGTTTGCAGGAGGACATTGTAGCAGACATACGCGCTAAGTACTGGGCTCTTGACATAGTGAAGGGCGCGGACGTTGAAGGTTTCGAACAGAAGCTCGGTCATCTTGTCACGCTGGTCCTTGGTGACCCACTATTGATGCAAACGGATATCATCACCAGGGATTAGTGCTGGGACACAGCTTGGACAGTTTTTCTAATGCATTTCTGCTTCTGCCTGCACAGCGATGGACGTACGGTTGGCTCAGACACCATGACACATTTCTCTTCGGGCTTGACCTGGAGGACCCGGTCAAAGGCGTGGCGCAGGAGATGCTCGAGTGCCTTCCAATCAGCCACTGCTCATAAGCAAGCAAACAGTGTGTGTACTGAGCATGCGCGGGCGTATGTCGGGCACGCGGGGGAAAGCACATCAAGGTTCTGTGGCGGGGCTGGTTCTCGGCCGTGAATGTCCTACCAAGACCGTTGTCATCGAGAAGGGGAACGATCTCTCGGTTCTCCTTGGGGACGCCGAGTGTGGTCGTGCCAACGGCGTATTGAAATTCTTCCTTGGGTGCTGTGGCGGGCCCCGATGCAAAAGAGATGATTGAGGATCGAGACGGATCGAGGAAGTTTGAGCAGGGGGTTGGCAGGTGTGACTTGGGGCGGGATGTGATGCGCGAGAAGAACGAGCGCAGGGCACGTGTGTTGAGAGTGTCGAAGATCGGCGTGTGCGCGCGAGGTCATGCGTGTGACGAACCACTGGAGTCATCCGTTTGGTCCATGGCCGTTTCGACCTTGGTTCGGCTCACGTAGGAGGGCAAAACACACTATGGACGATGTGGGGCATGAGGCAAAGAATGGATACGCAGGTTGCGCGCAGGTCAGGGCGAAGGCACCAACATGGGGAACATCGGCTCCGGCAAAGCCGACTTTGGTGGTATGGCTACCAATGTCGACAACGATGGCGCCGACATCATCTGTTTGCAGGAGGGTGGGGTGCCAGGGAGGGTTAGAGGCACGAGGGCAGACGGAGGAGGAAGCGGCAGTCGATCCCAAGCACGCAAAGAGGTGGACGTACCACCGCCATAAAGGGCACCCGACATGATGTACGTTCTTGGAAAAAAAAAAAGGGCCCCCCAAAATCAAAAGCCGCGAAGATGTCCCAGCAGGGCTATCGCCACCACAGCCACAGACGCACAGCCAAGTCCAACAGCGGCCACACGCTCAAGCAAGCACCGCCCAGACACACAGCCCCGGACCCCGTGTTTGCTGCTCGTCGGCGCCCTCTCTCTCTCTCTCTCTCTCTCTCTCTGGGTCAACCGTCAAATCTCCTGGGCAACGAGGAGACTGGTGGAGATTCGGGAGCGAGCCCTCTTTGTCAGATCAAATTGTCAGACGAATACATTGCGTTCCCAGTTGTTCGTTATGCGTTGTGTGTTATGACATCGGAACAGCCAATGGGCAAATGTCAGCAAAGTGTAGAGAATATGTACCCTCCAAGGTGAGGATTATGTTATTTACCATTGTAGGTATTGGACTTTATGCATCAAAATAAGCTGTAAATGTTGTTCCAAGAGAGAGATGAAAGAACGAGAGAGAGGGAATGGCGGCATTTTCTCCCTCTCTCTCTCTCTCTCGTGTCTCTCACACTTTGCGCGCGCGCGCGCGTGTGTGTGTGTGTGTGTGTGTGTTGGTGCAAGAGGGGCGGTGGCGGTGGCGGTGTGTGTGTGTGTCGGTGTCGGGGTGTGGCGTGATGGAGGGGTTGTTGGGGTTGGATGATCCAGAGGTGACCCTCGCGCGGTTCCGGTCGCAATGGCAGCAGGAGGTATGTGGGTCTGGATGGCTGTGCGCGCTCCGTGTTTTTGTTTTTCAAGGGCTCCGCTGCTCGCGGTTGGCAATGGCGGTCGCTTCTGTGCGCGTCTGAGATGCTTTTGGGGCTCATACAGTCGCATTTCTCCCCCTCCTTTTTGTTTCCCTGGGGCGCGTAGCTGCAGCACCACGACACTCCATTGGAGCAACATCCCGATGAGCTGGTGGAGGTATCAACTCGCCCGCAAGCCAAAAGGCCGTCAGCATGTATCTTCTTTGCCTCACTGTCTGTCCTCTTTTGCTTGGCAGGCCCTGGCGCTGCATCAACAAGGCACCGAGCTTGAGGCGGCTGGCCAGCTTCATGAAGGTGTGTGTGACCCCCCTCGTTTGATTCTTCCTCAGCTCGGCCTTGTGTGAGCAAACTAGCTGACATCCGATCCGGCCGTACGGGTGATTGTTTATTTCAGCCATGCTCTTTTATCGGCGCGCCGCCAAGCTCATTCCTGACATTGAGTTTCGAGCTTACAAGCTCTCTGAGCGGCGACATCGTACGTACACTTGACTTCTTGCAGCAACCATATTGGGCACGCCCCCCACAGCTTGCGCCGCACAATCCAGAATCACTGACTTCCTGCGGAAGCAGGAGACGCGCAAAAGCGAAAACAGGCTCATGGCGCCGCGGCCACCACGACTAATAAAAGTGCAGCTGCCGCTGCCGCCGACGCTGATGTGCGTTCCAGCCTGAACGACCCTGCTGTACCCACACGCTGCTAGCATCCATTCACTAATGCAATGCGCATACTTGCCAACCGTCATCCAACCATCGATCTGTAGGCTGAGGAAGACGAAAGTCTTGATGCATTGGTCGCTCGTTTAGCTGCCCTCGAGCCTGTCGCTCAATCTCGTCATGCGGTCAGACCTCTCCCTGCCAAAATCTTGATCAAAGTCTCTCCACGTCTTGTCGCATCGCCTAACCTGTCCCCGCCCGTTGGGTTTGATGCCTTGTTTGGAATGCCACAGGCACCAGAGGGTCACATTGCCCTCCTGCCCGACGAGGTTTTATATCGCATTCTCGAGTTCTCCTTGGCACCCCATTACGTGCGTCCGGCGTGGTTGCTTGCTCACCCGTTCTCGCATGTTCCTGAGATTGGCTCCCTGTTGGCTGACGTGACCCATGCCATCAACACGTCATCCATCGAAAATAGAATTTTCAGCACGTGTTGGATTTTGCTCGCGTTTGCCGAAGGTTTCTCTTGGTGGCGCAAGCGCCTTCGTTATGGGTGCGGCTAGCGCACCGCGTGGCGCAGCCCATGAACAAGACCAAGGCGCTGACATTTGAAAGCCCCGCGCCCCACCCTTCCTGGCGCGCTCTTGCCTTCAACTACCCTCGTTGCTTGACCCACGGTATCTACGTCAGCCGTATCTCCTACGTCCGCGCCGGCGAGCAAGGGCTGGATCAACACTATGCTCCATACCACGTTGTCAAGTACTTCCGCTATCTGCGGCTCTTTTCAGACGGTCAGGCATCCACAACGACCTCTGCCGATCCACCCATTGCGGTTAGTTGGCTTTCTTCCGCTACCCGCTACCTTAAACCACCCAGCCTCTTTGGACCGCGCTCGTTTATCTCACATTCTTGCACGTGTCCAACTGCAGGTGGTTCAACGCCTGCGAAACCCTCGCAGCAATCACCCATCCATTGAACATGGCCACTTTGAAATTGGTCAGTTGTGCTTCCGTGTCTCGCCCAGACCCAGATCCAGACTCAAGGATACCCACAATTGGGCTCGCCACACTACGCCACATCTGAAATGCCCTTGATGATAAATCGCTGCGCAGAGGATGATCAGGTCTTGGTTGTGACGGAGCGGCTGGCGAGTGAGGCAGCCCGCAAACGACACGAGCAGCGGCGACCCAATGCTCGCCGACGCCACGTGATGGAGGAGGTGTGCTTTTTTGTGACCGCGCTGTTTTCTCTGCACTGGACCTGTGCGCGTTGCAAAACCCAGACTGATCTCGTTCATCCCTTTAGGAACACTTGGGGCCTAAGCGTGTCATCTTCTATTCAACCCTACGAGTGGGTCCAGATCGGAAGCACCATCCAAACCATCGCCTAGGTATGTCACTGGCATCCAGCGCGGGAATAAACCAAAGAACCTTTTTGTGCAGCGCATCGTCACGCTCGAACTTGTGTTGACGGCCTCTTCATTGTCCTTTGCCGCGTGTTTGCACACTACGTTTGTCAGACTGGCAAGGCTATCGCCTGCAACAGGAGAGCTGGGTCAGTCGCGCCCGCTGCCCACATTCACGCCCACTCTTTTCTCGCGCACCTCACCGAAACGACGCTGCCACCCACAGGAAGGACAAATGACCACGACCACTTTCGATCGGTCTGAGCAACTGAAACCATTTCAATTCTGGGCTGTGCCATCGTACGAAGGAGGACGCGACGCGCACGAGGCCGAGGAAGGAGATTGACCCCCTTGATTAGAGTAGTGCTTGGTTCATGACACAAATTTATCTCAGGTCTTGACCACAACTGGGTGCTGGTGGTGGCTCGACAAAAGATTCCCGATACCTCCGCGCGCACGGGTTTCATACATTCATGGCTCCATTACAAACGCTTTGCCCCTCAGTTTGGCGGGCAAGGCGCAGGCGATCAATTGTAATCACACGACACGCACGGCCGACATGGGTTCTTGATAGGGACATGGGGTCATACTCGCTTTGTTGAGAACCCGAGACAAGGAGATTGGGCAACCTCCTGGTCCCGCTAGGCCATCAACATGCTGATCATGTTGGGCGAGACACGCAACTCGGATGCAGGCAGGTTTTCGAAGCGAGGTGCATAACCTAAACCAACCATTTGCCAAGCAGTCAGCTCTGCGAGAGAAAGAGCGTGCCCATGGGTTTGAGTCTGACCTGAGAAAGTAACCCATTTCTGATCGGCCTCGCCCTTGAGATGAAAGCCGCTAAAGAGCAGCTCGCCACCCTCACCCTGTTGCACAAGCACGTGGTGGAGAGCCAAATGTGAGTTCTCGATCCAACATGGCGCATAGCTTGATGCACAAAAAGGCTCAGTGGAAGCCCACTCACCTTATCAATCTTGTCCACCTGGCCCAAATGCCAGTGGATGCCACTGGAGCGGTTGTAGTCATCGTTGCCTTTGTATCGGCCTTGCGGAAAGAACACCTGGGAGCCCACGCCAATCTCATCGGCTGCAGGCGTGATATCTTTGGCAACCAAACCAAACGGCTAGGTGTTTCATGGATACGGTCACGTTCACACAGGCAGAGAGGAATTAATGAGATGAGCATGTGTACAGCTACAGCGCACGACAGAGGTATCCTGAACCCCAGCGCAGACACAATGCAAGGCCACGGGGAGCGCATACAAAACCAAAAAAGGAAACGCAGCGCGTCCCACCTGATCACGGCCTGTGACATCACCATCGTCCCATTGAATCTCATACTTTCGTGTTTCACTACCCAACCAAAGTGCTAGTGATGAGCTGATACGCACGGCCCTTGATTCTTGAGAGGCAAGAACACCTCAACTGCGTCACGAGCACACCAATGACATACCGGTTGACGCTGATAACTTTGGCGGGATAGAACTGCCATCGCACCCAGTGCGAAATGACCTTGTCGCCAGGTTGAATCACGTCCAAATCCATGACTGGTGCTGGTGGCGAGGCACCCAAACTCGCCTTGTTGACGAAATAAACACGCGCACAAACAGGCAAAACAAATTCATCAACCTGAATGAGCGTGCTTGAGCCAAAGTCGACGGAGCTGACACGCGCGCCCACCTTGTCTGCAGCGACGTGCTTCTTGACTTGAGCCAAAATCGAATTCCACGCTCCTTGGTGGTTGGCTTCGACCAAATTGCGAAGTTGCAGAGGCTCGACGTGGGACTAAGAGGGTTTGAACGCACGGCAGGCGCATTCAGGGTTGCCGGCACAAGTAGGACACGGAGACTCTTTGATGTTTGTGCCTAGTTGGCTTTTTGAAGCTTTCACTTTGCATGACGGCGATGCTCGGAGCGGGGTCGTACCATGCCAGCAATGAGAAGGCCGACCACGGTCATTTGCCACTTGTCACCCTGGCCAACCACAATGGGCACGATGGGTTTTTTCAGACTCTTGCAGGCGAACTGAAATTCCGTCCGGCAGTTCTCCGACATGGCATACTCGTCGCTCACAAAGGCGACTACGAGCTTGGTATTTTGCAGGCCCTACTCTCGCAAAGAGATTGGATGAGATTCCGCGACTGCATAGCGGTAGGAGGGAGCATCCGCGTGGGCAGAGGAAGTCAGACGTCTGTCCGTGTGCGCAGGTGAAAAGAAGGCCTACCAGCGCAAGTTCTTCAAAGAGGCCGGCGCCACCACTCTCAAGGCGATCCACGTCGATCCAGACCTTGAAACCGTTCTGCTCAAGGAAGGATTTGATGCGACGCGGATCATTATACTCCGTACCTAGGGTTGTGTCAGTCTCCTGAGGATATGTGATAGAGGGGATTAGTTGGGTTGCGGTGCAAGACACAGGACGCACCGACGACATTGGAGACACCATCGACACGCTGAGCCTGGCAAGAGTTGTTCCAGCAGTAGGAGATGAAAACGTCTGTGGGCTAGATCGATGCAAGAAGGCCTGCCATTGAGCGTTCAAATGCGACGTGCAGTGCCATGCACAAAAGCCAAGGTTAAAGCTTGATGCGAAGCGGGCGGTATACATACAGCGTCGTCGGGAGCGGCACGCGGGTTGTTGGCCACAATGGCGTTGGATTGGTTGGGGTCGGCCAAAGCCGTGCGGACAGCGGCCACAAGTTCGTTGCGCTTGCTATTGTAAAGAGCTACATCTTGAAAGTTGATGTAGAGCTCTCCTGAGATGAGGAAGCCTACTACTGTCGTCTGTGCAAGCAAGGACAAAGAAATCAAACTGTGCGTGAGCCGCATCAAGGGCAGGGCCAAGCCGAGGCGACGCACAAGCGACTCGCCTGCCAATCCCAGGGCCCGCTCCCAACGACAATTGGGATGCAAGGCTTGCGGGCTGTCTTCTTGGCAAACTGGAAGAGGTTACGCGTGTCTTTGTCCTACAGACATTCAAGCCAAAAGATGAGATACCGCAGCACGACAGTTGGGTCATGGGCACATGATATGCTCAGGTCTGCCGGTGCACTGACCATAGCAAACTCATTGGAGACACATGCAACCACTACTTTGGCGCCACGCAAAGCTCGTGTCTGCATTGCAATTATCGAGAGAACAATGAGAGGCGCAAGGGTGGGCAAATGAAACGCGTTTAACTTTTGCAACACACCATGTGTGCGATTGATACGCCAGGATGCTCCTCCGGTACCCAACATGAGAGCCCAGCCGCTTCAATATCCGATCTGAGGGCGGGCCAGACAAATTAGCAATGAGCAAAGTGGGTGCGAGCGAGTGAGTGGGAGTCGCATGTAGGCAGCCACAGGCCTAGGGACAAGTTTGCCAAGTGCTATGTTGGCCGACGCACCGAATTTGTCTCGGATCTGAGGTCATGGCGTTGGCATCGGCGTAGTTGGGTAGCGCGTCCTGTTCAGCACAGACAGTAGCATGAGCTCTAAAGATGCCGCGGGCACGTTCCACCGGGGCATGCAACACAATATCGGCACCTTACCGGGTTTTGAATGCGAGTGCTTGCGTTCTTTGCGTGAAACATGAAAAAGACGTCACAGATGCGCACCTCCTGCAGGTCATTCGGTCGTGGGCCATGAGTGCAGATGCGAATCTCGGGGAGTGTGCATTGTCGCCGCAGACTTACCTCGCCATCATCATCGTCGTCTTCCATGGCATCATCAACAGCCATGAACACGTTTGGCGGCAAGCGGAGTCGGTCCAAGGGGTAGTTTTCAAAGTCTGGCGCGAGCATGGGATCCAGGACCAAGCAGAGTGAGCAGCAGAAGGCAAGCAGTTGGAAGTAAAAGGCTAGGAAAAGAAAAACGTATTTGACACTGACTCTCGTGATGACGCCTCTTGCCATCGGCTTCGCCCTTGAGGTGCTTTCCATCGTAGCGGGTTGTGCCATCGGGCAACTAAGGACAGATTTAGACCCAGTGGATGAATTTTCATCAGATTACCGCCGAGGGGTGAGAGCGGCAAGGCCGTCGATTCAAGCTGTGAGGCAGCATCGTACTTGATGTACGGCAGTGATTTCGCCCAGGTGCCAATGTTCTCCAGCCTCTCGATCAACTTCGGCTCGGTAGCGGCCTTGTGGAAACAGGATGGCCGTGCCCACACCCACTTCATCCTGCTCAGGCATCAGATCGAGGGCCACATGCTCCAGATGCTGCGGGGATAGCAGCCATGCATCAATATACAGGTGTAACGAGGCTCGTCGAAAGAGCCATTGCGTCACTTTGGGCGCTACACGAGTGGCGACCTAGGGATGAAACTAGATGGCCAACCTGTTCGCGGTGCGACGTATCGCCATCGTCCCAGTTGACCGTGTACTTGAGGGAGCGGGGATCAAAAGCGGCAACACGCGCGGGATAAAACTGCCAGCCGATCCTGGAGGGAAGTCACATCGTAATCATGACCACGATTGCACCGCTCCTGTTCGTGGCGCTTGAGGGGGTTGCGGGTACCGACCAGTGGGCAATGACTTTGTCGCCGACTTGGGGCACGCGCTTCTGCACAGCGGTTGCTTTGGTATTCTTGCGGGGTGAGAGTTGCTTCGTGGGAGATGCTTGCTTGAGGCCCGTGACCTGGGCCTGGAGCTCATCCCGTTCACGCGTGGTCTGAGCCAATTGTTGCTGGGTGCCTGAGTCATAGGTAGGTGGTCAACGAAGCGATACCATTGATGAGCTGCGGCTTTGAATATGCCCAGTATCACCGAGCGGGATCGACCTACGATCGAGTTCGTTTTCTTTGTCCTTGAGGGCTCGCTCCAGAGTCGCGATCCGGTCGCGATATTCCTGTTGTCGGGATCGATTGCATGATCGATCAGTGAATACAGGCAGCGAGGCACAATATCGGGACAGACGAGAGGGCACGCAATGGCGGGGCGCGCTATGGTGGGCAGACCTTGAGCACAGCCTCATGCTGTTCCACTGGAATCATACTGGCGGTATGTGATTGCGTGATGCACGCGTTACCCATGATACCAGTCCAGCGCGCGGCTGCTTGAGAGTCAGAAAAGTGAGTAGCAATCGGAGAGTGGGGCAGGGGGCGGAGTCAGCAAGGCACGATGGAGTTGAGTGCCACTCGAGCCAGACAGAGGCGATTCTCGCACAGTAATCTCCTCATGTCCTCCCCAAGGGCACGACAACGTACCTCGTGAAGATCGTGTGGGATATACCCACGGCCACGGCCACGGTAGTCGTCAGGGTCTTTCCCCTCGTCAATCTGGATCCACAAACAAACAAATGCGGTTTTCTGGCGCTGGCGCTGGCGCTGCACACACACACACACACACACACACACACACACACACACGTCCCAAAAAAACTCAAAAACACACACATACAACAAAGGATTATAGAGATGGAGATTGTTGGTGAGGACAGTTTCAGAGATGCATGCGAGTCAGAGTAAAAAACGGAGCGGTTATAGTATGGATATTAAGCGTCATAAGAGGAGGCGTCATTCTTTCAATACGACAAGAGAGGCGAGAGAGTCTGATGGGCTTGACTGGCGGATCGGACGCCGCCCATACGTAAGTACGGGCGCACATGAGATGTGTTCTGCCACGCGGCGTCCTCTGGGTGTGTGGTTGACCGGTTTGCATTGTCTTTGCCATCGCTTGGTGCAAAGGAACAGTCCAGCTGGAACCCACGAAAATGATTGGATTCGAGTAGGACAGCCGTGTCCGTTTGCCTAGCCGAGGGTCCGACCACGGCATGGCATCGCCGCGCAGTCTGTGATGGATGTGCATGGTTGGGGACAAAGGCAGGAAAACAAGGCATTCTGGTTGAAACTTGATCCCAGACTTCATGTGCTCGGTCAGGGCCGATTCGGAGGTGATTCATGATGCCGCAGCATGTTGCAGACTGCGTTGGGGCAAATGTTTGGCATGTAGAGAAGAAGAAAGGACGAAGCGTGGTCGCAGCCTAGAGATGCGGGCGTCCACAAGGAATAGGGGAAACGGTTGTGGTGCTCTTGGTGGTGCTGAAGGGATAAGAAGAAGGGGATTTTTTTTTTCATATTTTTATATTTTTGGCAAGGTTCAGTTTTCGCGGCCTGTCACTACCCTATCTGCTGCTTTTACCAGCTGGCAGGGAGACGGGGCCTCGGTAGGTCCTGGGTGGACGGCGAGAGTTGGTCATGGAAACGGTCACAAGAGGCGTTTAGACAGTGCCCGAAGACATTTGCGATGCCTTGGAAGCTACAAGGGGGTAGGAGATTGTTGTATAAGAGCAGGCATGAGATGAGCTATGGCAGAGGAGGTAGAAGGGAATCGTGCCAGGTATGGGTCGAGTGACAACACTGACCGGCCATGGGGCTGGTTTCTATCGCGCCAGCGGGCAGCACATTCGGGGTCGACTCGACAATTTGGCGCAGACGCATCACTATGGGCATCAGTGCAAGGCGGGGGTGATGAGCGGGTGATGAGCGAATCGACGGGTTGGTGAGTCACGGCGGCGGGCAGAGGCAGCGCATACTTTGCTCCTCAAGGATGGTGGCTCGTGCTTCCTCGGTCTCGGCGGTCTTGGTGAGGCTGGGGTCGGGCTTTCGGCAGCCAGGGAACAGAATTAGCAGGGCGGACATGTTGTCCTTGGAACCAAGCTCTAGGCAGTAGTCGAGAAGCAGGTCGGCGATACGCTCTGCGTCGTAGCCGCGCTCGAGGAAAAAGTTGACAACCAGTTGGACACCCTCGTTGGTCAGCACGTCCCAGATGCCGTCACAGGCCAGGACCAAGAACTCATCCTTGGGAGTTCGGGAGATGCTGGTGGTGTCCGACAACGCGGTCACCTTCTGCTCCTCGGGCTTGAGGTCTGGCCTATCCTTGTATTCGTAGTCACCAATGGCACGGGACACGGCCAAGTTACCGCAAACGCGGCCCATCTCAATGAAACCACCCGCGTTCTAAAACAGGACGGCGGCCAGGGCAGCGCGATGCGATGCGATGCCAACACCATACAAATGAGTGTTTGGTCACGGCTGGAAAAAGTGCGAGATGCACGGCAAAGCAAACGGCACCTTGATTCGCTGTGTCTCAATCTCATCTGAGGGCTTGTGATCAGAGGTGGCAAACTTGACCTTGCCATCCGACACTAGCACAGCCCGGGAGTCACCTGTTGGTGTCAAGCCGGCGGACGTGACGTGAGTTTGTTTCGCGAAAACCAAAGCACTGGGCCCGGCAAAGAAATCAACAAGTGAAGCACGAGACAACCAGACACACGAGCAGGCAGTGCACATTGAAACGAGGACAAAAGAAAAGCGAGCCAAGAAGAAAAGGAAGCGCAGGGATGCTTGGACACGACGGCCCAGAACAGGCAAAGAAACAAGCTACAACAACATCATCGGCGACAAGTCCTCGACCAAGAAGCGACAGGATGTCACGCGGATGGACTACGCATCAGAGGAAATGGCGTCGCGCGGATTGTGAACGAACCGCAGTTGCACAGGACAACGGAAGTCTCAGTGACAAAACCGCAGATGACGGTTGAACCGGAGCGGTCGTGGCCGGCCTTGAGCCTGAAATCAAGGAGGGAGGCGTAGGGGAAGTGAGGGGATAAAAAGACACGTCGGTGGCCAGCTTCAAGGGAAAAGGCCAAGAGGGAAAAATGACGTACTGGGGGTGCTTCTCCTTGATGGCTTCATCCAGCTCGAAAAGACCCTTGGACAGGACCTGCTCGAGGTTGGCAGCCGACTGCCAAGGTGCGGAAGAGAAAAAGTGAGACACGCATTCAAAAGAGGGCAAGACGTGATGATGGGGGGGGGGTTCTTATCAACGCCACATGGGTTTAAAAGTTTGGTTGCGAACAAACCTTATCACCCTTGGTGTAGGCTTCGGTGCTTGTAATGGCTTGGATAAAAATCTCGCCGCTGGAAGGAGCAAAAAAGAGAAGCAAAGGCATGAGAGAGAGAGAGAGAGAGAGAAAAGGGGGGGATGAGTACACGCTTATATGTGTGTGTGTGTACATGAAAAGGGTGGGGTAGAGTGAGACCCATTTGGGTCTCGAGGGTGATTGATGGTTTGGCTTGCAAGATTGGCAGACGGCGAGACATACGCTGTGGTGGAGACGGTTTTGCCACCATGACCATCAAAGACTACAACGGTTGAGAGTTAAGGGGATGAGACGCGATGGACAAGAGAAGGTGACAGAGAAGGGGCAAAGAGGGAGCCAAAAAAAAAAAAACCGGTCAGAGGTTCAGACGCACCGGCAAAGAGAGCGCCGTTGGGCAGATTGGGCAGGTCGGCCGAGACAGCATGGGCATCCTGTTGTGTCGACGTCAACAGGGTGAGACAAGGACGGGGACACCAAGAGAAATAAATGTGGCCAGAAACAATCGAGCGAGGAGGGGATGGCCCGCAACGCGAGACGGCTTCAACGCGGCATGGGGGTCCTGGACAAGTCAGGGGACGTACCTCCATGTGGATGCGCCAGCCCTGCATGGAGCTCAGGGCGTAGCTGAGGCCATTGGGAAGGGTGGCAGCGTCATGGTGTTTCTCCGTGACGGGTTTCTCGAGAAAGGCGCCCATGGTCCAAGGTCTCGTCGCAACGACGACGACGCGGCGGCGATAGGTATCGGTGCGTGGTGGTGCAACGGAAGGGGAAGGCGACTAACTGGAGCGTGTGATGATGAGGATGATGATGACCCTACAACCCCCCGCGCGCGCGCGAGGGAGACACAACAAGCGCACACAATGCGAGGCACACACGATGAGTGACAGATGCCAAGCGGGGACGATTAAGCGCAAGCCAAGTCAGATGCCACATCCCCCATGGAGTCACACACGCCGCCTTCTCCCCAATCTCCCCTCGGCCATGCATTCAACGCGCTGCCATGGATTTTTTTTTACCCCGAGAGCTCTGAGAGAGAGAGAGAGAGAGACGAGAGCTCTGAGAGAGAGAGAGAGAGAGAGAGAGAGAGAGAGAGAGAGAGAGAGAGAGAGAGAGAGAGAGAGAGAGAGAGAGAGAGAGAGAGAGAGAGAGAGAGAGAGAGAGAGAG